AGTGTTTCGTTTTAGCGCTCCTGTTTTCTGATGTATCATTGTATTGCACTCTCATTGACATCTTTTTAACGTGTGTCTGTTGAAAAACTTATAAAATAGTGTTACTTTCTATATCCAGTTATTCACACTAACAAGCTATAATTTATTATTATTTTGTTTGAAGCCTAGTCAATGGAAGCTGCTGAGAGGTCTCTCTTTTCGAGTACAAGTAAGTACCCGGTTAATTCCATTATCACCTCGTTAATCTACACTCTATCTGTAATCCCGCACTGAGGTGTAACTAGAGCGTAATCCTAACATCATTGTCAATATTCACTCTTTTGAGTGGGTCGGTAATTATTTTGATAAGAAGGCATTAACTATATATATATAGAGGCTTGTCTGTTCGAACTTTTCATTTGGAATTAAAACAAGTCCGTCATATTATTGAGCTAGGCTGCACCTGGTTTAAGCACTTTCATCCCATAACATAATAATACTCAAATTATAATACTCAAATTATTAAAACTAAAATATAAAAACGGAGACGTGTAACTGACATGTCGACAAGATCCGACGCTCATTCGTCCCTTATCTTACATGATCAGATTAGAGGCACACTTTTTAATCTTTTATTTGTTCATCTACTGCGACTTGTGTATCCTGCAAGTTTATTATTTTGCCTCAGAAGAGTTTAGCTAGAACTCTTCATGAGCTCCACCCATCAAGTTACGTAGGTGCTACACGAAGAGGTCTCCTCCTAGTCGTTGGAAGTGGCCTGCATCACACACATCTATCTCTTCTACGGTGTAACATGTTCCTCCATGCCACTCGTTTTAGAGCTAACTGTTTTACTGCGTCTCTGCTGATGATATCGACACCTGTAAAGGCAGCCGCATCCTCGAGTACACAGGCCATCCAGCCTTTGCGGGGTCGTCCTTAACGGGTGATACTCGTAAAATATTTGTTCCAAATATTGGACCGTCGACGAGTCCAACTCGGCGCGCGTCCTGGTAGGTTATAAACCTACAAGGTTGTCCTCTCAGTCTCTTTCCATAATAATAATGCGCAATACATTTTCTCATGACGTGTTCTAGTGTTCAGTGTAGATCAGCTAAACTGTTCTGATGAGTGCAGATCAGTATATCTCCCACAATTACTCTTTTATTAACCTCATGTAAGTGTTACACCTCATTGTAATACAATGAGGTGTAACACACGATGAAACAAAAAATCTCATTGTATTAGACATACAAATTGTATTAGACATTCAGAACCCACTAATAACGCACTTTTTTAGGGCAGTTCTATCGTACTACATGCTTCTATGTTCAGTTTCTTCATTACGATGATTATTTGATGATTCGTAATCGTGTTAAAGTGTTATGTTTTGACTGAGAGGTTTTTACCAGCGCTGCTAGATTTTTTCCTACTTTTGCCGAAGTCAAAAAGATCGTAGGGAATAAGTAATCGGGTTTGGATATATGAGGTGGCCCGACGGCCCTGCGTTGATGACAAAAGTCTGCTCGGCTGCTCCTTCGCAATTTAGACCACTCCCCTATAATTATGTGTATAGAAAGCGTTTGTTATGCTGCGCGCGACGCTAGCCATGTGTTTATTAATTACAGTGAAATTCCTCCTTCGCAAAGTTATTTTCTAAAATTGTCTGGATTTATTTATTGTTAATGCGCAGCGCTACAGTGATCAAATAAATCGTCAATTTTTGTTTTTACCTTGCACAAATCCCACTCATTTATAAAAAACAATTTGTAAATATGTTGCAATTTTTCCAGTCACACTTTTCACACAAAAGAATTAATGGTACAACTACATGTACATCGTAGGGAAAATTGATCGTGCGTTGTTTAACCGCGGCGAAATTCTTGTTTAAGTAGTACCAAGGGTAATATGATCTCTAGTCTATTTCTGTGCAACCATTGTAGTTCGTAATAATAGTTAATACCCTGCTCAGAGACTGTCTCTAGGTCTAAGTACTAAGTATTTATTCTTTAAATAGAACACCTCTTAGTCTGACTTTCTGGGAACTGTTAATAAAGTAGAGATGTGTCCCTATTTCTGCGCAACTGTGTCTCATCTGTAACCATGGTAACTATGTCTATAGGTTGCAAGGTTTGTAACCATGGTAACTATGTCTATAGGTTGCAAGGTTTTTAGGTTGTAACCATGGTAACTATGTCTATAGGTTGCAAGGTTTGTAACCATCGTAACTATGTCTATAGGTTGCAAGGTTTGTAACCATCGTAACTATGTCTATAGGTTGCAAGGTTTGTAGGTTGTTACCATCGTAACTATGTCTATAGGTTGCAAGGTTTGTAACCATCGTAACTATGTCTATAGGTTGCAAGGTTTGTAACCATCGTAACTATGTCTATAGGTTGCAAGGTTTGTAGGTTGTTACCATCGTAACTATGTCTATAGGTTGCAAGGTTTGTAGGTTGTTACCATCGTAACTATGTCTATAGGTTGCAAGGTTTGTAGGTTGTTACCATCGTAACTATGTCTATAGGTTGCAAGGTTTGTAGGTTGGTTTTTTTTTTCGCGATTTCAGGTAATGAAATGCACTTGTGCGCGGCAAGGTTGGTTTAGGTTGGGATGAAAGTTAATAACACTGGTTTTGTTGCAGTGAAGAAAGTGATCACTTTTGCCGCTATATTCATTTCAACCGGACTTTATATGAAAAAAGTACAAGGTTAGTTGCACGTGTAACCATGGTAACCAATAACCATGGTAAGTGAGGTGCACGTGTTTTATTGATATTTCTCATCATGAGAATGTTAACAATTAACCTGTGAACTTCTTTTACTGTTAACGCCTTGTAACTATGGTAACCAGTAAACTGTATTGCAGTTTGATACTCCTCTCTCGGAGCCGGCTTTTATTTTTAAAACTCTAATACAGTATATATATCGCATGTGCCTGGAAAAATCTGTTAGCACTTGGTATACAAATTTTATTTTGCGACGGTGTTCTCATTCAGTATTTTAAAACAAAGTTTTCCACAGAAAAGGCCATGCCTAAAAGACCAAAATTTATATTCTAAATATAATATACCATTACAATAATGACTCTAATATAGCGTTATAAACCCCTCCGTGTTCTATTTTGTCATTTTTGCAGTAAATTCTTATCTTTTTCAAGATTGTACCTGTGGCTGCTCTCATTTTCTATTCATATTAGTTTTTATTCGTTTGCTTTTATTTTTTACTTTTGTTGGTACCCTAAACGAGGCAAACTGAATGGAGTTTCACTGGTTACCATGGTTACAATACAGTTCTCAGTACGATTACAATAGCTCCTTAGTCCGCACATTGAGCGACAATGAACCAATGAAACCCTATTAAATAGTCTTTGTCAACGTTTGATTGAGTGAAATGTCTTATATTATAGCCTAACTCGTATTATTACGAGAGTGCGGTAAGTAATTAAAATATCATTTTATCCTCGGTTATTCTTTTGTTTTAATGGAAATGTGGGTATATTTTGAGAATACTCATATTAGTACTAAAATTGATATAATTATTTATAACTCTCATAAACTGTATTGTTATCCTCAATAGAATTGTTCCGTGGTCATTGGTTAAAATAATACTTGTTATTTTACTAGTTAATATGTTATATTATTAATTTCGTGTTGTTGTGTCAAGGAGTAATGATAAGGCAGCACGAGGCAGCATGAGGATCTTGTCCATTATTTTGTTGGAAAACAAATAGAATAATATATAACAATATATCTTGTCCATTATTGCGACACGTGGTCATTATTTGTTTGCAGTATCTTCAACCCTTATTATTGGAGTCACGACTTGTCCTCGTATTGATTAAAATACCATTTTTTGATTAAAATACAGACTAGAAACCGGCCGCTAGTTTTAAGCTTTGTTCGAGGAAATTCCAAAATCAGTTATGTTTTAATTCGTCTCCACTTAGCTCCAATCGGTACGTGGGGCCCTCGCAGTAAAACGTTTAAACTTACTCTTACCGATTTATTCTCATCAGTTTATAGCTATAGTAGTAGTACAGTAACTGTACTTTGACAGATTGCTGGATAAAATTCGATTTATAAGTCACATTTTTTTCTTTTAACAAATGATCAGTAGTCGAGAGTATGCAGCAAGTTGTCACTTTTAAACACTTATATAAGCTATATAACTCTTACAATTCACTAATAAGTCATCATGCAGTTTAAGTTACAGTAGCTAGTTAAAGTGAGTAACAAACACTTACGAACAGTGTTTATACCTTTCGTTGTGATAAATAATTTGGTATTCCGTGATAGCTCTATCTAAACCACAATTTGACATTTTCCACAGCTTTCCTCGCTATAACGTCAAACCAGTTTGTTTATAGCACCACCCGCACAAATTCCAATGAACTTTCAAAGTAGCAACCTTCATACTTACCCAACAGCAACCAATCACAGTTGTTTATTAAAATAATTGTTTTATTAATATTAAATAATTGTTTTATTAGTTCGAATCACGTGACACTTAATTTATCCCCCGTAGCCGTCCACAGTTCTTCATAGAAAGTTCTCATACGGCATGATTTGCAAATGCACCTTTATTGCTACCATTCTGACAGAAATTTCTCTTGACCTAGTCCCTAAGATTTCAAAACGCTCCACTTTTTGAACAAATATCAACCGACCTTATTTCCCATTTAGTATTGAAGCAGCTCTCAGAAATTCACTTTTGTTATACCCATTTACTGAAAGTGGTATTTCCCCCAACTTCGACATTTTAAATGTTTATTTTTATAACTGTATTTTTAGACAGTGCCCATTGCGTACCAAGCGTACTTTTTCGACACCCTGAATTGTCTCTATAAACTTGAATTAAACCTCAAAACTCCGAATTAATTTCAATAACTAACTATTTTGTTATATACCAGCCGTCCAGGATTGCTGTCAGGGTAATAATGCACTGATATGTTTCTATTATATAACATATTACATAACATTTAGTAATCAAATAGTAACCGAACCTCTCCTACGTAGAATGACAGTCATGGTCCAGTCAGTCCAGTCATCGTTGTTACACTCCCTGTAACCATAGTTACAGTGATTGTTGTTATGTAACGTAGCCAATACGTTGCTCCTTCATAAAGCATTATGTCGCTCCTCACAATGTTGGCAGGCCTAGCCTGTACAGCACTTCTTAGTTCCAGTCAGAGTACTCTAAATGACACTACTTACTTCTATAAGAAAGGTTTGTTTTTCAAAAATAAATTCAATTTGTTTTAGGATAATCATAGTCAATTAAAGCGTTTCGATTTTACTTGAATTTTATTGAAAGTGTAGTTATCCCCCCCCCCCCTTATCCATACACAATACTGTGTTACATACATACATACATACATACATACATGAAGAGGTCTCCTCCTAGTCGTTGGAGTGGCCTGCATCACACACATCTCTTCTACGGTGTAACATGTTCCTCCATTCCACTCGCTTTAGAGCCAACTGTTTTACTGCATCTCTGCTGATGTTATCGACACCTGTAAATTCAGCCGCATCCTCGAGTACACAGGCCATCCAGCCTTTGCGGGGTCGTCCTCTCAGTCTATTTCCATAGTTTGGTTTCCAATCCAGTAAGAAATTGGGGAACCGCGTCTCTGGCATTCTGACAACATGTCCGTACCACCTTAGTCTAGCCGCACCGATGAAAGTTTCGATAGACTTAATTCCAGCACGCCTGAGAACTTCTTCATTGGAGACATGGAAGAACCACTTTATCTTCAAGATTCTTCTCAGGGAGGTCAGATGGAAGACCTCAAACCGTTTCATCTGCTTCTTTGTTGTGTTCCACACTTCAGCTCCATATAACAGAATAGTAATAACAGCAGCCTTGTAGATACAGATCTTGGTGGGCGTTCTTATAGTTCGACTGTTCCATATCTTCCAAAGCTGATGGAACGCACCATTAGCACGCTGGATCCTGATGTCAAGATCTCGGTCAATGGTACCATCCCCACTGATGTTGGCACCAAGATAAACAAAGTTGCTGACCTGTTCAACAGGTTCTCCCTCCACTGTTAGCTTTATACTGTCTCTTTCGGTGTAAGGTCGCTGGGACGCACACTTGCTGATCGCCATGCATTGTGTCTTTTTAGCGTTGATCTTCAACCCAGCATAAGAGGTGTAATAAGCTATAAGATCAGTGGACTCTTGCAGCCCTTCTTCAGTATTGTCCATCACTGCCAGATCATCAGCGTAGTCACTATCCATGATAACTTTTTCATCTGCACCCTTTAGTTCCTTTTGCAGTACAGCACCATGACTGATTGCCTTCTGAACCTCGGCCAAAAAGATTCCAAAGTTCAGACAGAAATTAAATACAGGAGGGCCCTGGATATCACCCTGTCCAGTGCCCGAATTAACAGAGAACCAATCAGACATTTCACCATTAACCCTGACAGCACTCATGGTTCCGTTGAAGAATGCCTGAAAGATTCTAACATATTTCTCAGGAAGTCCATAGTGTCTCATGCTTGACCAAATAAACTCTCTTCTGATGGAATCAAACGCTGCCTTAAAATCAATGAAATTAACATAAAGTGGAATGTTAAACTCAATGCAGTTGTGAATAATGGTGCGGATGGAATAAATCTGATCAATACATGAGCGGTTCCGTCTGAACCCACACTGATTTTCCCTAAGAAGACACTCCATTCCAACATCCAGCCTCTTAAGAAGAACCATTTGAAGAACCTTAGAAGACGTTGCCCTAAGAGTTATACCCCTATTATTGCAGCAGTATGAGGTGTCTCCCTTCTTTCCGATAACCACTATAACACCTTTAAGCCAATCCTCAGGGATCACCTCTTCCTCCCATACCTTTTTAAACAGTAGCTCTAGTTGGCCAACAAGAGCACTTCCACCATACTTAAGTTGTTCATTAATTATCTCATCAACCCCTGCACTTTTGCAGTTCTTCAGTTTCTTTAGAGCATAACTAATCTCATCTCTAGAAGGAGGTCCATCAGAACAAGAAAGGTAGTCAAAACTCGGTTGTGAGGGCACACCATCGAGGTCATCAAGATTGGCATCCGATAGTGGAGGATTTAAGAGCTCAGTAAAGTGCTCCTTCCACCTTTCCTTCTGACTGTCCGGGTCTGTAATAAAATGACCATCCTTATCCCTAACTGACATACCCACTTTCTTCTTCTTTTTCCCAGAAATCTTCTTAATCTTATCCCAAACTTCCCTTTGCTGGCCTTTCTTAGAAGCCTCCTCTAGATCAGTCGCTATTTTAGTAGCACAGTTGTTGTCGTCAATTTTACAACTTTTTTTAACTAATTTATTAAGTTTAGAGTAGGCTGATCTATTGACGTTTGAAGTGGGATCCCTCCGTTTGAACATTCCCCGTTGCTCTATCAAGTTCTTAGAGGTTTGCGAAAGGTGTTGTTCTTTAACCTTCCGGGGACGCTTTCCAAGCACTTCCATCGAGACATCAGTGACTGTCTGCTTGAAATTATCCCACATGTCCTCAAGGTTGACCTCATTAGCCAGACAATCAAAACGGTTCTGAAGAGCCACGTTGTACTCTTGAACCTTAGACGAGTTTCGCAAATGTTCGATAGCAGGCACATCGTGCCTTTTAGCAGTGATCTTAGCTAACGACTGCAGTTTGATTTGCAGCCGTCCACGAACAAGATAGTGGTCTGAACCAATGTCCGCCCCACGACATACCTTAACATCGAGTAGCGAGTGTTGGAATCGTCCACTAATACAAATATGATCTATTTGATTCACAGTTAACCCGTTGGGAGACCGCCATGTACCCTTGTGGATGTCTCTATGCTGGAACAGAGTTCCACCAATAACAAGTTGATTGGCTGCACAGAAATCCATGAGCCTGGTCCCATTGTCGCTTGATGAACTATGGAGAGATTCTCCACCAATAACTCCCTCGAATCCATATCTGTTTGAAGTAACTTTTCCATTGAAGTCACCCAGTAGCAGTTTCAGATCATGTCGGGGCAGTTCACCAAACGTGTCTGATAAAACGTTGTAAAAACGATCTTTCTCTCCGTCATCAGCACCGTCAGTCGGAGCGTAGGTTACAACAACAGATATGTTGAGGTGTTTGCCGTGTAACCTAGCTGTTAAGACCCGCTCTGATGTAGGTACATAAGAGATCAGTGAGTTCCTGACCTTTTTGGAAAGACATAGGCCAACCCCTTGCCTTTTGATACCATCTCCCCTACCAGAATGAATAAGTAGACTACCATTGTCCAAAAGTGTACTTCCAGATCCTGGCATATGAGTTTCAGTAATACCCAAAATATCAAGACTGTAGTGATCAATGTTCTGACTGAGTTGATAAAGCTGTGAAGATTAGCTGACTAAAGATAAAACATTCCAGGTTCCAAAGTACATTGAGTGTTTGCTGTAGTTGATAGGATTGGACTTGCTGAAATCAGTGTCAACATGAGCGATCTGTTGACTAATTACTCTGTTGTTATGACGAGCAACCACTCTTCTCATCAGGCCACTGGGGTCCCTGAGGCTTTGCCCAGTTGCCGTCATCCTGGTCTCACCCGACCTCGCAGAGGTAGAAGCACAACGTCCTTGATTTGTGTGTAATGTTTCAGTAGCAAACTTTTAGAGAGGAGAAGTTGCCAGCATCTCGCACCCGGTTTTTTATCGACCTTTGCCTGTCTAGATCCATAGTCTTTTGTTGCACGTCATCTGTTTATACTGGAGTCACCCAGGACAGATTACAATGCTTAATAGTAGCACCTCGAAAAGGATGTGATTCTTCATCACGCACTATGGTCATTGGAATAGGAGAGGTTATTGGCTTCACCGCCTTCACGATCACTATTCCCTGAGATTATAAATAATCTCTTGCCACCAAAACAATACTGTGTACTTAGTGTAATTAGTGTAATTCATGTACCACTCTAATGTAACTGTGCAGGTAAGCTGATGCTGGGGTTTGTAGATAATTACCCCAGCAAGATAAGCCCACATCAGATGCAGAACATCTTGACTTTCCAGCGAACAATCCAACAGTTTGCAAAGCCCCTATTGGACGGTGAGTATTATTTTTAGCTAAACAAAATGATAAAACAAGCTTTTCTGCGACAGTTCGGAACAATCTTAACGGTTTTATTTGAAACTTATCCTATCCATTTTCTAGAAAGTAAAACAAATGAACATATTGACAAGAATATCTCCATATCCAGTGGCGTAACGAAGGGCCCCGCTGTGCGGGGGTGTGGGGGGGGGCGCCAACAGGCAACGTTACGCCACTGGGGGGCCCAACAGGCAACGTTACGCCACTGTTCATATCTCCGGGGTTTAATAACTCGTGTTTATTAACCCATGATTCATCAGGTGAGCTGGATGTAGGCTATGTGATGTTTCTGACGGATAAGGAGCACTGTTTGATTGACATGTTATATGTCTTACAGCAACACCCCAACATCATAGCATTCGTCGGACCCAGAACGTCTTACTACGTCATGTCTATGTCATCCCTGTTATCTGCCTTCAGGTAACCATAGTTACCATTATAGTTACCATAGTTACCAACACTAATCCCTGTCATCAGCCTTCAGGTGAGAAGCTTTAATAGTAAGTCAACACTAATGCCCAAATACTTCTACTCGTTAAGTATAATAGTTTAGAAGGATGAACTTACAGTTAGTAGTTTATGTTACAGTTGACTACATCACAAGAATAACATGCTCCATCTCAGAATCCCCACGTTTGTATACGGGTCCTCTATTCTGAGTGACTACATGTTGGAGGTAACCATAGTTACCATAGTTACCATAGTTACCATAGTTACCATAGTTACCATTATCTCAGAATTCCCACGTTTGTATTCTATTCTGAGTGACTACATGTTGGAGGTAACCATAGTTACCATAGTTACCATAGTTACCATAGTTACCATAGTTACCATAGTTACCATTATCTCAGAATTCCCACGTTTGTATACGGGTCCTCTATTCTGAGTGACTACATGTTGGAGTCTTTGGCTTGGAAGTACGTTCTACCGATGACTGCAACTGCTACCGGACAAGCCACCACGACCCTGCCCAGGTACACAGTACACATGTTTACATGTTTACAGTACACAGTGTACAACTGAAATTAGGAAAGGGTATTCATATGGATAATGGAGTCCAAGCTAGTTTTCGAAATTAATTATTTTCATGGTAACTGTTGAATATTTGCCTTATAAGAAAATGACTTTTATATTAGTATAATATGTGTTGCAGAGTGCTGAAGAATATTGGCGCTGATATAGTATCAGTGGTGATAGTAACCATTGTAACCATAGTAACCATAGTAACGACTAATAAGTGTTGCAGAGTGCTGAAGAATATTGGCTCTGATATAGTATCAGTGGTGATAGTAACCATAGTAACCATAGTAACCATAGTTACGACTAATATCTGTTGCAGAGTGCTGAAGAATATTGGCTCTGATATCGTATCAGTGGTATATGATGATACGGACTACGCTCGCCCCCAACTCCCAATTCTGTTAAAGTCTCTGAAGAACCACGGGATAGATATTAAACGTAGCACTTTGCTTACCGACAAGATAACTGATCAGTCTACTTTATCAGGTTAGTTGCTTGCGGAGTAAGCCAGTAGATAATGATGATGATGATCTTGTATCATTATTATCATTTAAAGTATTATCAGCCTAACCCAGCTCTGAACTTGATAACCCGGAGATAATTATAACAAGGCAGGGTCAAAAGGAAATCGCTGCATGTGCGGAATCGCGATTTTTCCCATTATTTGCGACAAATTTTATGTATAGTTTTATGTATAGTCTGTTAAAAATCGCGGTATCGCGATTTTTGGGCAAAATAATCGCGATTTTCTTTTGTCCCTGTAACAAGGTAGTGTCTCTTATAGTTACCATAGTAACGACTAACTAAGTGTCTCTCTATCAGGTGTATTAGAGGACTTGAAGGAAGCTAAGCTTTACAACAGAACACTAGTGATAGTGACTCTAGCGTCCTACAGGAGGATAGAGGGCACTATAAACTGGTTGCTATCTGAGTTAGTAGAAGAGCCAGCAAACACACTGCTAATTACCAGTAGTTCAGGTAAACTAGGTAACATAGTAACCATAGTAACAGTGTAGTAACCATATTAACAGTGTAGTAACCATAGTAACAGTGTAGTAACCATAGTAACAGTGTAGTTACAAACACACTGCTTATAACCAGTAGTTCAGGTAAACTAGGTAACATAGTAACAGTGTAGTAACCATAGTAACAGTGTAGTAACCATAGTAACAATGTAGTAACCATAGTAACAGTGTAGTTACAAACACACTGCTAATTACCAGTAGTTCAGGTAAACTAGGTAACATAGTAACCATAGTAACAGTGTAGTAACCATAGTAACAGTGTAGTAACCATAGTAACAGTGTAGTAACCATAGTAACAGTGTAGTAACCATAGTAACAGTGTAGTTACAAACACACTGCTAATTACCAGTAGTTCAGGTAAACTAGGTAACATAGTAACCATAGTAACAGTGTAGTAACCATAGTAACAGTGTAGTAACCATAGTAACAGTGTAGTTACAAACACACTGCTAATAACCAGTAGTTCAGGTAAACTAGGTAACATAGTAACCATAGTAGCAGTGTAGTAACCATAGTAACAGTGTAGTAACCATAGTAACAGTGTAGTTACAAACACACTGCTAATTACCAGTAGTTCAGGCTGCGTGCTGAGTATCAATGAGACGTGGAGTGAGAGGGGTGTTAACGTTATCAAGACCTGTCAGACGTATAATATTGAGGTTGAGCTGCAGGAGTACTTCCAGAACACTGCTACTTTGTGGGAGGGGGAGGAGGTGGTTAACCCTCTCCTGCTGGAGAAGGTGGAGGGGCAGGGTGACTGTCACAACAACACTTGCTTCAGAGACTTGTTGTTGCTATACGCGGCTGCAGGCAGACCTTATTCCTCTTACAATCACAGGTAACCGTAGTAACCGTAGTAACCATAGTAACCGTAGTAACCATAGTAACCATAGTAACAGTGTTGTTATACGCGGATGCAGGCAGACCTTATTCCTCTTACAATCACAGGATAATGTACGCTTTGAGAGCGCTACTTCTGGCGCTGGAGAGTTCAGATCCAGACCTACTGAGGGAACACGCAGCACGTGCTGATGGTTTGGCACCGTTCCAAAGTAACCTTAGTGACTCACTTGTGAGACTATTTAAACAGAAGTCAAGTCTGTTCCAGTCCGGGCTACAGTTTGGTCAGAACCAGACCAGATCAGTTCCTTATCTAAATGTGGGTCTGATCTTCAACAGGTAATCATAGTTACCATAGTTACCATAGTTACCATAGTTACCATAGTTACAATAGTTACCATAGTTACCATAGTTACCATAGTTACCATAGTTACCATAGTTACCATAGTTATCATAGTTACCATAGAACCAGACCAGATCAGTTCCTTATCTTAATGTGGGTCTGATCTTCAACAGAAACGAAGCAGTGGAGTGGAGAGAAGATAGTTCTAACGTTAAAAGTTCAGAATACCTTCAACTGTAAGTATATCAATCAGTTACCATGGCAACTGTAAGTTATTCTATAAGGTTTTTGGTTTTCAATTCACAACGTTGGTCTCAAGAACTAAGCTGGGAACGAGTTCCCCTCCAAATCCAACTGTGTTATCTCTTATAATAGTTGTTATGGTAACTATGTTATCTTATCAGGGTGTTGTCATGGTAACTGTTGTACCTGCAGGTTCCTATCTAAACATTTGGATAAAAGGATATCGTGTAGTTTATCCTGTGCTCCGGGACACTATATGTTTAAAGATCCTCTGCAACTAGCGAAGAACTGTTGGGATTGCGTCAAATGTCATGGTAGGTGCAGGGTTCAAGGTGCAGGGTTCAAGGTAACCATAGTAACCATAGTAACCATAGGTAATAGTTACTCTGACCCTGCTAACCAGGTACCCATAGTAACCATAGTAACCATAGTAACCACAGGTAATAGTTACTCTGACACTGGTAACGCTTCAAAGTGTGAGCAGTGTGGGGAAGGTAGCTGGTCGAACAGTGACAAGACTAGTTGCTCAAGTGACACTACAAGTCTACATCTGATAAACCACCGCTACGGAAGTATTGTGCTCGCTGTCGTGCTCATCTCCCTCATCATTGTCATCGTAACTTTCGGTACTTTCACTTTCGGTACTTTCGCTTTCACTAGTTCGGTACTTTCGCTTTCACTTTCGCTGTTGGGTGGTATACCTATTGTGTAACTATTCTATGCTTTACATTAACAGCGGGTATTTTCAGCGCTTTACTTGTGTTTGTGGAACAGTATAGTAGTAGTTGCCTCGGGAAGAGATCTCGCTACGTTCATGTTTCCTGGCATGTTGTGTGGACTAGTGGACGCTGCTCTCTTAGCTTCAAAACCAGGTAACTATTTATATCCTAACGGCTGGGTGGCCTAGTGGTTAGAGCTTCCGCCTTCTGTACAGAAGGTTCAGGGTTCGAATCCCAGTGTCACTCAGTCTAGGGAGTAGCTAAGGATTCATCAGATCTATTCGATCTCCTCGGTCGACTCAGCCGAATGATAGGAAACTTGATTGAGGGTTAAATGAGGAGGGGTGCCTGTGCCAAAAAGATCAAGAATCTTAGGATACTCCTTCAGAACATCTACAATGTAGTGTACTGTAAAATAAGGGCGGTCGAAATATTCGATGACCCTGTAGAGGAATCTACGAACTTTACAAATTAAATAAATTATTATTAATATCTCGTACAATTCCAGTATTAATTTATTAAGTTACAGTGTTCGTCTCAGAAGTCTGTATTCGCTCGTTTGTCTACAAAACAATAACACAAAAACAAACTAAACTAAGTAACCCCTCTAGGAGCTGAAATCTTCGTCTCTGTTCAGGTGCTCTCCCATAGTTACCATAGTTACCATAGTTACCATAGTTACCATAGTTACCATAGTTACCATAATTACCATAGTTACCATAGTTACCATAGTTACCATAGTTACCATAGTTACCATAGTTACCATAGTTACCATAGTTACCATAGTTACTATAGTTACCATAGTTACCATAGTTACCATAGTAACGATGTCTCACTCCATAGTTACCATAGTTACCATAGTTACCATAGTTACCATAGTTACCATAGTTACCATAGTTACCATAGTTACCATAGTAACGATGTCTCACTCCATAGTTACCATAGTTACCATAGTTACCATAGTTACCATAGTTACCATAGTTACCATAGTTACCATAGTTACCATAGTTACCATAGTTACCATAGTAACGACTAAACTAAATAACCCCTCCAGGAGCTGAAGTCTGCGTCTCTGTTCAGGTGCTCTCCCACCTCTTCATTGTACTGATAGTCCCTCCTCTCTTCGTACGAACACTCCGAATACTTGTAGTCTTCAACTTCTCCGTCTCTAACAAGACACTTGTTCAGTGAGTTATTCACTTTCTGTAGCGAAAATAGTGATGAGGATAATTGGTTTTTATTATTAGTAAGATAGTTAGATAAATAATTAAAACCCCAATAATTCATGCCCTGAATCAACAAGTTGTGATTCTGTGTCGTGCAGGCAGTAACATAGTTACCATAGTAACAGTGTAGTTACCATAGTAACAGTGTAGTTACCATAGTAACAGTGTAGTTACCATAGTAACGTGCAGGTATGTGACCAAGAACTATGTGTACGTACACATGGTTGCAGTAATGTTACCTGTCTTATTCTCTCTTGTCTACGGCTTGTTGGAACCCAACTACAGGTATACCTTCAGATTATTTAACAATAAATATATATAATATACATTCTTGATTTCTATAAGAAAAGCGGTCACTTGGTACACGTTGCATATCTCTTTAGTGTACGCCGGCCCAATGGCGCACAGCGGGGTCAGTCTGCGGCCGGCCCAGTGGCGCACAGCGGGGTCAGTCTGCGGCCGGCTTGCACTGGACCAGGATAAGAATTGCCAAATTTTCTTATTATTCCCTGATATTTTGATTTTGTAAGGCTTACAGGGATCAAAAGGTATTGCCATTGATTTTAACTAACAATAATTAGCTTTTTTATTCGTTATCACCTGTTTGTTATATAACCTGTTAAAGCGTTATAACACACATAACCCCGGCATGCGCAGGGATTATATTTCAATTTTTCCCGCGACGCGCGGGAAAAATTTATAATAATTTCGAGTGCGGAGCACGAGGGATTATTATGAAAATAACCCCGACGTGCTTTAGCACGAGGGGTTATTTTAATATAACTTAAGCGTGCCGGTGTTATGTGTTATAAACCCCTCCGGGTTAGTGCTAGGACCAACAAATTTGACATTTTACTCTTAATTCTAGCTATATGAGATCATTATGGAAAATATGAAATGGAATTGGGGACTTCCAAATAAATACAACTAAGGTACTATGACTTTTGAAATTGGCGTTATATCTAAACATTATTCCTCAGTCAGAACGTTGAATGAATATGAATATCGATAAGGGGCGTCGAGTTAAGCCTGGCAAGCGATAAAAGCTAATAATAATATCGTGTCATGAAGTTCATCAAAGTAGACGACTATAATACATGGCTTATATCAAACTCGACAAAATTAACCGAACCGGACAAAATCAAATGTAACCGTCGAGACAAGTTTTGGAACTGGTCCAATTAATGTAAGAGTTTAAGTAATGTAGTGTGCTGGAGTTTTGCCAGCGCCTGCAATTAGACCGATACGTAGATCGAGTGTATTTATAGTTCTTACGTTAAGCCATAGGTCACGTGACATTTTTTACCAATGCGCGTCGTAGTAGTTAGTCACGTGATACACGTCATCAAAACACGTGACAGTACGCGGTTTAAATTCTCATGGAATATCAAAACAAAACAAATCTTGTTGAGCCAAATTAGCGGGGCGGGATTATAAAAGCTGTGCCGGGGTTATTTATTCAGCGGGAAAAAACTAACAGCGGGAGCCGGGATTATCAGAATCTATTTAGCGGGAGCCGGGATTATCAGAATCTTATTCTATCCCGGAGGGGTTTATAATTTACCTGTTGCCAGGTTCACAAAGCGTGTAACAGAGGAGGGTTACTATGACAACATCTACAAAGTAACGTCATCCTGTGCTCCTGCACACTTCACCCTAGTGTACTTTCTTATAGGCTACGTGCTCACCATACTTCTTATTGCTACTGTTATGGGCTTCAAAACTAGAAAACTGCCCGAAAATTACAAGGTAAGAAGATTCATTTGATTTAATAATGTGGAAATGTGAACCAGTTGATTTGATGCCATTTAATCTAACTAATTCTTATTCAGTAAAACAAATTTATCTGGACATAATCTGATAACGATGTCTCACTCCATAGTTACCATAGTAACGATGTCTCACTCCATGGTTACCATACTTACCATAGTTACCATAGTTACCATAGTTACCATAGTTACCATAGTTACCATAGTTACCATAGCTACCATACTTACCATAGTTACCATAGTTACCATAGTTACCATAGTTACCATAGTAACGATGTCTCAATCCAGGAGTCTCTACACATATTCATGTGTTCTCTGATAACACTAGCATTAGTGTTGTGCTACGTTCCTGCTATGATACTTATACCCGGGGAGAAACAGGTGAGTAACTTAGCAACCAGCTAGTTAGTAAATTAGTAACCAGCTAGTTAGTAACTTAGTAACCAGATAGTTAGTAATCTAGTTACCAGCTAGTTAGTAACTTAGTAACCAGCTACTTAGTAATCTAGTTACCAGCTAGTTGCCTAGTAACCAGCTTTACGTCTAGTTACCGTCTAGTAACCACCATACTTATAGCTCTGTAGCAGTTTGATGTAGAACAGTTTGGGTAACAGTTAAAGAGTTAATGATTCATCATTACTAGGTAGCAGTAGTAGTATTGTGTCTTGAGAAGTCCTTAACAGCACTCTAACCTTCAGGTGTTCTCGCTTTCTGTTATAGTGGCAATACTTTCTCTCATGGTAAACACTACGATATTCCTCCCTAAAATCATTATGTGTATAAAGAACCCCGAGCTGCGGAAACGTAAAGCTAAATCCCTCAGGAGTGAACAAAGCAGGGTTTCCAACACTAACTTCGAATCTAGGGACTATAAAAGTGCTCCTTTATAAATTTACTACGATTAATAGGTGAATTTAAATAGAAAATTGAAGAACAGTGAACTACTTCCAGTTTAATCGAGTAGGAAATAACTGCTATTTGAAAATCTGAGATCATGCTTAAAATGTAATCCTATTTTGGAGGGGGATTTGTTTATCAGTTCCCGGATCAGCACTTATCATATAATCGAATAGGCTTAAAATGTAATCCTATTTTGGAGGGGGATTTGCTTATCACTTCCCGGATCAGCACTTATCATATAATCGAATAGGCTTAAAATGTAATCCTATTTTGGAGGGGGATTTGCTTATCACTTCCCGGATCAGCACTTATCATATAATCGAATAGGCTTAAAATGTAATCCTATTTTGGAGGGGGATTTGCTTATCACTTCCCGGATCAGCACTTATCATATAATCGAATAGGCTTAAAATGTAATCCTATTTTGGAGGGGGATTTGCTTATCACTTCCCGGATCAGCACTTATCATATAATCGAATAGGCTTAAAATGTAATCCTATTTTGGAGGGGGATTTGCTTATCACTTCCCGGATCAGCACTTATCATATAATCAGGGGGATTTGTTTATCAGTTCCCGGATCAGCACTTATTATATAATCGAATCAATTTTCTCTAGTGTTGAGATAAAATAATAAGGTTTTAGATGTCGAAAAGGGTTGGACACTGGACAATCAAAGGAAATTTGTTTCTCAGACTAGTATAGTCTGTTCCAATTTTAATGTAAATGTTGTGTAACCATGGTAACGCTGAAATCTTACTCTTAATATGCTATGGGTTCAATTTATGTGCATGCGATTTTAGTTCAATGTTTTGTTCAATTTCGATAACTATTATTTTATGTTTATTTTTGTTGTATAATTTCTTGTGATGGTTCAAAATTTGAAAAGAACCCATTTGGGGAGCGAATAATTCAGAAACGCCACATCAAGAAATAAAACTAAGTTGTCGTATCATCATGAATCCACTTGTAAGAGAATAAGAGAATAAGAAGAATAATCAGCATATAGTGTAACGATAAGAACAGGTAGTGTAACCATGGTTACACCCCTGGATAAGAAGCTGAATTATAAAGAGTGTGACAGAAACGCATTCACTGTCAAACGATGTTAGCAGATCATTGCCTGAAGCGAAATCATCAAACCTCTGACAAAACTATATCTTTTCAAAACATATCTTAAGCAAAATCACTTAGTTACCAGCTAGTTACCAAGCAACCTGCTAGTAACTTATTAACCAGCTAGTAACCTAGTAACCTGCTCTCAGATCACTAAAAGAGTCTATCCTCTGTTCATAGCTTCCCCTCCAGGCTTCATGCCCGCTGATTTCAACTGTTGAGTTTCTTGGACAATTGCCAGGCACGGACACAGCAAGTAAGACAGTACGTCCTCGTTATCTGTCCCCTAGGGTTACACGGTTGTCATGGTAATGTGAATCTTTATTGACAAAAGTTAAATATCTAATGAATATAAAGAAGTCGAGAAGTAATTGATCTGAACGAACCTCTATTTCGAAAGTTTTGCGGATCTTGTTTCTGATGAAAGGTCCGAAGTAGCACATAGGTCCCGGTAAGATGCAGAACAAACAGTACAACATCCAGTCCTCTCCTAGAAGCTCCGCGTTCGCTCCGAATGTTATGCAGGGACAGCACATTGTCAACCCAACTAAGGTAAAGAAGAGGTTATACTTATTAGTTAGTGGTCACCGTGCCTACTAGCTGTTTACTAAGCAACTAGTCAACCCAACTAAAGGAGAGGTTATCAGTTAGTGGTCACCGTGGGGGTCCGGACTCTACTATACGGCGTAAGACTCTACGGCGGGTTAGGGTTAGGATTAGAGTCTTACGCCGTAGAGTCTTACGCCGTAGAGTCCCGGACCCAAGTAGCGAAAATAAACTGCCTAAAATCTTGAAATCTTGGAAGCTTTCCAATTTGCGTATTTTCTTCACATTTCGTCTCAACTATCGTATTCTTGGCGCACATTTTTCGCATGTATGTATCAGAATTAAAGTGCGTTGCGGCTAGTACTAATAGTGATGTAGTAAACAACAGAGAGGTATCATCCAATGTACTGCGACCAGTACTTTGTTTGATCTGCGTGCTGTGAGCCGGTAACAAGTATCACACGCCACAAATAAGCATTATTACACCACCACTGTAGTAGTGTAACACTGTTATTCCACCACTACACTAGCACATGTTAAACTCTCTTAACACTCATCTTCACAAGCTATCCAGCCTGTTGTGTCTGAGCACCAAGTAGGCCATGTTGGTCCATCAACGTCAAAATCATCGCTATGGTTTGTCCATATATTATTATTTACTGCATGTTTAATAAATGCGTTAGCTTGCTATTTATTTAATTGCTATTGCAATTGCTATCCATTTACTTAAGAGTAGGATAAACTTGCTCGGATTTTAAAAATTTTTGTACCACTGTTTTCTAGAGACTGTGAGAATTTTCACAATACCAAATTTGTCATACCTTTTTGGAAAGATCAGTGAGTTTCGCCTAGGTGCCATATTTGATGGTGCGCGGCTTTTGGAGCAAAAGTAGCTGTAAAAGTCGCGTAATTTGACCAAATTCGTCCAAATTTGACCATTTTTGTCGTATTATTCGGATTTATCTTCAGTTCCTTAAATGAGATCATTCTGGAAATTTGCGACGACCTTCCAATAGGGCTTTCACAACTGTCCCAAAAATTTGGTGGATATCGGAGTTGATATAGTGATCAAAATGGGGCAAAATACGCTGCTTTTAGCTGTAACATAATGTCTAATGGTTGGATATGCTTTAAATTTTTCGGACACTTTTCTTGTAAGTCTATGAGTAAGCTTACCAATTTTTGTTGCAATTGGAGATCGGGAAGGATACTCAATATCTATTTGTTTGAAGAAAATTGTGCTGGCCGAAATTAGCGCTAAAAAACCATCCTACAGTCGGCACGCGCGGCTCACTGTCGATGGCGCACTACCTATTAAGAGGCAATATTTACTGCATATTTAAATACGCTAGCTTGCTATTGACAATACAACTTACGCAGTTTCATGTCCATATCGAAGCAGCCAAAAAGGCTGTGAGACCAGGTTGGTTTGGGAATTTCCTCTTCAGGCTCCGGAGCTGGCTCCGGTACTGGGGTCGAACTTGGCAACGTTGTGAACTCTGAGAGTGAGCTATAATTTTACAATAAGTAAAGTAAAGATTAACCTCTATTGACTAATGAGTCTGATTGAGGCTATGTTTTGAGCATTACATACAACTGGTTACTAGGCAACTGGTAACTAGGCAACTGGTTACTAGGCAACTGGTTACTAGGCAACTGGTTACTAGACACCTGGTTACTAGGCAACTGGTTACTAGACAACTAGTTACAAGGCAACTGGTTACTAGGCAACTGGTTACTAAGTACCTGGTTACTAGGCAACTGTACCTGGTCCGGGAGTCCCAGCTGCAGTTGAATCCATGGGTTGTAGTGAGATAGGGGCTCCATCTACAGCTCCATTAACATTCCCATCCAGGACGTGGTTCTGCTCTACTGTCTCTACTGCCGGTACTCCAGTCCCGGGAGGGACTGGGACTGCTGCTACTGGAGCTGGAGCTGGAGCTGGAGCTGATACTGGAGCTACTTGTACCGGGACTGTGGAGACTAGTGTGTTAGTTGCATTTTATAGTCGTAACCAAGCAACCACTGTCTCGAGTGGTAAAACATTAATCGCGGCATGTGCGAAATGAGAAATCGCGATTTTCTCAGTTCTCCGCAACAAATCACTCATTTATTTAAAATCTAAGGGCCAAATTTTACGTTTTTCTATTACGTCGGCACTTTTTTGGCCATTCGAAGATCATAGCTAGGGTGGGTACGGAGAAACATTTTCGGCTCATAATAATCAGGGTAGCATGCAACGTAGAGAAAAGACGTTTTTGACTTTACAAATTTTACCTCCAAGTCATTCTCGATACGTACCTCTCCCCATGGCATAGGGGAGGCTCGCCTTCAGAGATTGCATGGCATTACGGAACAACCACTCCCTCAAGTGGCAACGGATCAACCAATCTGATGCCTGGACACAACTGCTATCATAAGTATCATGTCCGTTACCATGACAAATGCTATCATAAGTGTCATGTCCGTTGTCCGTTGTCCTTATTTCAGTTTTACCCTTTATATCTAGTGCTATGAAATAATTCCTCAGCTACAACAGAAGCAGCATGTGCAGACACAACTCATTTGTAATATGAATCATTGTTTAGCTAGATATGTAGTAGTAGTAATACTAATAGTAAGTAGTGGAATATTATTACTGTTTAGCTAGATAGTAGTAATAGTAATAGTAAGTAGTATTGTTTGGCTATTTATGTAGTAGTAGTAGTATTACTAGTAATAGTAACTGTAACCATGGTAACTAAAAGTAAGTAGTGGAATATTATCGTACCTGGCGATGTAGGCGGTGCTGGGGTTCCTGGCTTTGACATTGCTAACTCTCTTCTCTTATATTTAAAGTTGCACTTCTTCTCTTCCCTTCTCTTATTTACATCTGGTCGAGGTATAAACTATGAACTGTGAAGGAATTAAGATATCAGGGTGGCACAATGGTTACTAGGCAACTGGTTACTAGGCAACACAATGACGCAGATATTAGTTAATTGTCTGTTTATATTGGTGATAAGCTGGTGATACGTCTTCGAATGCCATCTGCTCATCTGGTAAGCAAAGGACGTTTTTAGTTTTTACCGTTGACCAATAACGTTTCATCTTGATGAAGGAATGAATGAAGGAATAAATCTCACGATTAGACTGGAAGAATACAAGGTTGTGATCGGCAGAAGTTATTTAGCGACAGTCCAAAGTAAAGGTCCCAAGTAAAGGTTTCGTTATATTAGTATTATCGGCCGCACAAACCAAAGTCCATATTTATAATCTTACTAGTTAATTTCAAAACAAAGGCAAAAGTAAAACTGTGCTAGATCTGATACCTAGTAACCAGTTGCCTAGTAACCAGTTGCCTAGTAACTAGTTGCCTAGTAACTAGATATTCTGAGGACAAACAGACGCAATTCTCTCGCAGTATTAGTACTATGCCCATTTATTAGCTCTTAAATGCTTGCTAGATTTTACAGCACCAATGAGGTAGGCTTGCTAGATTTTACAGCACCAATGAGGTAGGCTTGCTAGATTTTACAGCACCAATGAGGTAGGCTTGCTAGATTTTACAGCACCAATGAGGTAGGCTTGCTAGATTTTACAGCACCAATGAGTATAGTGCTCAAAAAGAGGAACACAAAATAAAAAAGATAATTGTTAACTCTGGAACTGTTTGATTTTCAAAGTTTCAGGTAATAACGAAACAAAAAGATAAACAGTTTGAACGCAACGAAAAGTAAAACGTTACGCGATACACGAGCTTGACATAAAGAAATGAGGCGAGGCCGAGTGTACAAATGAGGCGAGGCCGAGTGTACAAATGAGGCGAGGCCGAGTGTACAAATGAGGCGAGGCCGAGCATTACACTCTGTAAGAGCACCACGTAAGAGCAGTAGAGTTAGAGTGTCAGCAGTGCGAGAACGCTGTATGTCAGCGAGAACAAGTACAATTCAGCTTGTTATAGCAGTCAAGCAAAAACTGCCTGCAAAAGTTTGTATAAAATTAGCTTGTCGAATTCTCAAGCAGCTCTTAGTCTTAAATCTCTCGCTCGTTCCATTTTGGAAATATAAAATTATGTGCTATTTTTGAACTTTATTAATTCAGGACACCTTTGTCTAAAGATTGTTGGAATACGAAATAACTTTAAATTCAGGGTCGCTTGCGAATGGAGTTATTGTTGAATAATTAGAGTTATAGTTGTCCAATATAAGAGACGAGAGAGACGCCATTTTAGGACGTGAGGAGATATCAACAAGTAAGACTATGTCACTTTTCATCGTTATTAAATCATCTGATGCAGAAACAAATTTGCTAGCTCATCAACCGCACCACTATTCGTATAAAAACAAAACATTTGATCATATGAAAAACCTATGAATCATTAAATTACTACAAAAATAAACTTATTAAATTAAACAACTCGGAGTCAGTGTTGAATTAGTGTCTCACACTTAGCCCCTCAGTGCCTGAAGTCCTTGTTTGAACTGGGGATTATCAGCCATCCAACAGTTACAACTGATTTAAACGACACCAAGTCATTGTTTGCGCTCATCCCATGAACATATTTGTCTGCTCTTTCTCTGCAGGGTTTTTGCAGCTAATCAGTGACATCACCGTAACAGGAAGTGCTCTCATGAGTGACGTCACTGTAACAGGAAGTGTTATCATGAGTGACGTCACCGTAACAGGAAACCCTCTCATCCCAGGCAGATGTACTCGTCGCAACACCCCCTCCTTTCCTTCATCCACCTGTTACTGGGACACGGCTTATTCTCCTGAAATGAGCGCTTAGGGGAATGTTAGGTAAAAGGAACACCAGAATTGAGGTTGGGGGCTGTTATTGAGGACAATCAATCAATTCTAATGAACTCGGAATTCGAGAGAGGAATCATAAAATTACTTAAATCACTTTTGATCACACTTTTCTGATAGATTCTGTTATAATTCTTACAGTTGGTACTTATTGTTTAATCGTGCAAAGTCGCGAGTAATTGGAATAACTTTAAAATCATGCAATTGATCGTCTCAGCAGATATTATAAAATCAACCTCTGCAATCCGCATGAGCATTCGGGGTACTACAGTAACCATAGTAACCATCATTTGATACTCATAGCACTCCCAGACTTATAACTAAAAACCTAAATCTTCACAGGTTTAAAATGTTAAACAGATAAAGCCGGAAAAAGTTTATGATATAAATCCGTCGAACGTTCACTAACGTATTAAAAGTGAAATACCCTGAAAATGTTCTTACCGGCTTGCAGAGAGGCGAGCAAGCGAACTCTCCGTATCCCAAACACTCGCACACGAAGAAACAACCAAAGTAGATCTTCTGTGGACCTAATGAAAGTGGATAATTGTAAAAATGTATTTATTATTTATTCATAACGCCGTTAAACTTTATACTTACACGACCTTAGCAGTGCAAACAAATTACTTAATAATTCTAAACAATTATTACCCTTTTCTTACTGAAACATTTTAATAAACCAAATCAACAATGAACACTAACCTGCTCTAGTGGTGTAACTATGGTAACACTAACCTGCGTAATAGAACTGTCCGTTGATGATGCAGTAAGGTCTGTTGACTTGTTGGTTGTAGTTAGGTGAGCTGGTTACCCCGGGAACCACCCCGTTCTCTGAAGTAGAGGGTCCGGTGACCCAGGAGGTAGAGGTCGTATCTTCCATCTTGTTGGTTTTTATCTTCTTATCCCCTACTGGGGTGGTGGTGGTGTAGCCGCCGTTGGTTCCCTCGTTTCCTCTCGTCGCCTCCGTTGAGGAGCGTGTAGCTGCAGGAGGACTCCGGCTCGTACTGAAGGTCCCGGTAATGGATCTGGTGGTGGGTTTAGAGAGAGAGGCCCACTGGAGGGTGACAAACACTAGAAACTGAAGGAAACTTGACAAAAACATGTTTGAGCGGATAATAAGAAATGTGCGAAGTGAGAGACTGACGCTAACGTTTATGAAGGAGTAACGTATTGGCTGGTATGCTTTATGGGTATGAAGACTACGTTACAGAATTTATCTTAATCAGATCAGGGCTCTCAAGATGGCCACATTGATTTGAAATTGAATAGCAGTTGGAGAACAATGACTCATACCGGGCAGGTAGGAATCAGTTCGTCGCCGGAGTACTTAAGCTCTAATGATTTGCAACAGGAGCCCTCTGTGAACCCCCCTCTTAAAGGAGCTGGGTGACAAGTACGGCTCTTTACCCGCAGTCTGGCGTTTCCAGCGGTTCCCTGCTATTTGTTATTACAATCCCCAGTGCACTCAGCACTCACTGCGACAGGGCGACTATCTGGAGCGTGTAGTGAGTGAGTGCTAGCTACATGTGCACTGGGGATGTGACTGATCGGAGGCGGGCTGGGTTGATGTTTTGATATAGTATAGACTAAAAGTCGCGGGATACAGCCGCTAATGATCGAGATAGAGCCGGACATTTCTCTTAAATTAGTGATCAAATAAATACCATCATAACATTATAACATCAGGAGTAAATATACACTTCACGCAACATAAATTTAGTTATCTGAACCCTAAGAACCACTGAACCCATATAGTCCGTATATATCGTCCGACCCATCCTCCATTCTACACCGTCTATTGATGAGGCCGGACCCAGCCTCCTCATACTCACTTCTCAACACACTCATTCTAGAGAAGGTAGAGAGGGAGGCGAGCACGGACCCTCCAACCCAGGATTTGTACCTCCCACTACTTGCTCTGCTCCCTGCCCCCTGAGTCATTGTTACCATGGCGCCGGCCGCCTCCAGACTCCGTAACAAGTGCGCTCTGAAGCCGGGACAGTCTGTAGTTCCGCCCGCTAGCACCACATGGCGGCACAACATGGCGCTCATATCCTGGTCAAGCCGGGATATAGCGGATGAGAAGGAGGATTGCACTGAGTCAGGACCCTCCATCAGGGTGTTACCATGGTAACCAGGACCCTCCAGCAGGGTGCCGGGGAGGGACCGTTGGGAGGGGGACAGGGTGATCTCTGACAGGTCAGGCAGGGTGTAGTGTCCGGAGCAGGGCGGATCTAAACAACTCATCGTCTCCTGAGATAATGGAGTGATAACTGGGCTTGAATTTTAAATCACTCTTCCTAAAACTTCCTGATTTAGACGCCCTGTTCGACCGAAAATAAAGTATGTACGAGACAAAGAAATTTATTTCCGTTTCACAGGCTCGACCGTATAACTAAGGAAACCCTCGTGATTAAACTGAGGTTACATTTTCATAACTAAACTAACTTTAATGTGATTAGCAATATCCCAGTGGGTGTGGAGATCGTTTCTAAATCCATACTGTTTCAGAGAGACTAAAAGTCGTTTAGTCAGATCCTCTCCACTTCTTGACATCGGCTCGAGAGCGTACGGAATCAGCTTACCTGAAAATATGATACTTCGTTAGACATGGAGGTCTCTATTTTTGGTTTGACAATGAGAAAGAGATAGCCTGATACTCCAGCTAACTAGCTAGGGTATTAGTAACAGTAGAAGTAATACTATTAGTAATAGACACTCACCCTCCAGCACAGGAACCACGGCAGCATGTCCAGCTCCAATATCCACCACAACACCCGACGTGCACCCCTCCGCATGCAATGCCAGGACAGACTGGGTTGCTAGGGAGAACTGAGGAACTCTCAGGGTCTCGAAGAAGATCTCAGTCTTCCTCTCCCTGTGCCTAACCGGTTCCTGAGTAGACTCAGTAAGGAGGACTGGGTGTAGCTCAGGATCTACACTTAACTCCACCTCTAGTGTATGTTGCCACACCTGATAGGAGGGTACTTTATGCTATAGTCTACACTGAAGGAGGGTACTTTATGTTATAGTCTACAGTGAGGGAGCTGGTACTTTATGTTATAGTCTACAGTGAGGGAGCGTACTTTATGTTATAGTCTGCACTGATAGGAGGGTACTTTATGTTATACTCTACAGTGAGGGAGGGTACTTTATGTTATAGTCTACACTGAAGGAGGGTACTTTATGTTATAGTCTACAGTGAGTGAGGGTACTTTATGTTATAGTCTACAGTGAGGGAGGGTACATTATGTTATAGTCTACAGTGAGGGGAAGGTACTTTATGTTATAGTCTACAGTGAGGGAGGGTACTTTATGTTATAGTCTACAGTGAGGGAGGGTACTTTATGTTATAGTCTACAGTGAGGGAGCGTACTTTATGTTATAGTCTGCACTGATAGGAGGGTACTTTATGTTATACTCTACAGTGAGGGAGGGTACTTTATGTTATAGTCTACACTGAAGGAGGGTACTTTATGTTATAGTCTACAGTGAGTGAGGGTACTTTATGTTATAGTCTACAGTGAGGGAGGGTACTTTAGGTTATAGTCTACAGTGAGGGGAAGGTACTTTATGTTATAGTCTACAGTGAGGGAGGGTACTTTATGTTATAGTCTACACTGAAGGAGGGTACTTTATGTTATAGTCTACAGTATGGGAGGGTACTTTGTGTTATAGTCTACAGTGAGGGAGCTGGTACTTTATGTTATAGTCTACACTGAAGGAGGGTACTTTATGTTATAGTCTACAGTGAGGGAGGGTACTTTGTGTTATAGTCTACAGTGAGGGAGGGTACTTTGTGTTATAGTCTACAGTGAGGGAGGGTACTTTGTGTTATAGTCTACAGTGAGGGAGGGTACTTTACGTTATAGTCTACAGTGAGGGAGGGTACTTTATGTTATAGTCTACAGTGAGGGAGGGTACTTTATGTTATTATATTATGTATAAATACATATGCGGACCATGCACTATGTAGTCCGATTTACCTGCTCAATGTCGTCCCAGTTGTGTATTCTGCCTCTTCTGACTGGTTGTACTATCTTTACCTTGCTCCTTCTCTTCAACGCTTCGCTCCCCACATACCTTACCGAGTCTCCTGTGTAATCATGTCCTACTACAGTAGGCGTGATAAGGCGGGGAACACTCTCACCGCTGAAACCGGCTTTTGTAGAGTGTGTTCCTGTGTCTAACACTACAACATCACGCATCTGACACACTACTGTTATACATCACGGTTACTATGGTAACACAGCATCATGACATCACGGTAATCGTCACATTTACCTGAATTTTATCTAGTTAAGGCAGCGTCATCCGAGAGAGGGTTATTGGCATTTTGTCATCAAAACGTCATAGATGTAACTCAAATATCAATTGAAGTAATGAAAATCCGAAAAATTAGACCGCTATTAGGTAGCAAGGTGGCATTACTAAGTTACTAGAGCATCAAATGAAATGTGACCCCAGATTATGAGCAGAAAATAGTTAATTGTTCAATTAAGAGCCACTCTAAAGTTTATTTTGACAATTTTTTAACAATCATCGAATATAAATCTTAGTATGTAACCTTGACAACACTACCATATAAGGAAATTAAGAACCACGTGATACCCATATAAGGCAGTATAATATTGGTTCTCATGATTGTCTTGGCTACCACGTAAATAACAGTCAGAATTCAGAACAACACACAAAGAAATACTTACAGGGAAGTATCATATTAACGTGGCTATAAATGAAAACGCAATCAGAAATATGGAAATTTAATTTTCTATCAAAAACGTTTCGGACACAGTAAGCAGCCCAGATTATGAGCAACTAACTAACCAAGATGGCTAACTGCTCAAATAAGTGCTGTCTGTAAGAGTCGGTAGGTTAAATTGAGTATTCGCTAAAACGTCGGATCAGAAACACGATGAGAAATAAACAACTCCTTCATCAAACTAACGTGCTTCAATACTCAGTAGGGTTTAAATACGAACTCCTTTGCTCTGGATATAGGGAGAGAACTCTTTTGCTCTGGATATAGGGGGAGCCCTCATGGACTCTCTATTTAACGCTTGGTTGGACAAAATGACTTAGCTTTACATGTTAAACTAAAACATGCACTGTTTACACTTTAATACTAACAAGTAACATTAAATTGAAAAAACGTGTTGAGCTTTAGAATAGCTCGACTACACTCTGCTACTAGAGTAAATAGCTTGATCAACAATTAACAACGACACGAGACAGTAGCTTAACGTTGCATCGACACAGCTCTACAGAATAGCTGGTCCGTCAAATAAACAAGTAAAGCTAATTAAATGGAATTTGATTAAGGTATGACGAATAGAGCAATTAAAGGATTAAAACCTTAGAAGTACCTAACGTGAAATTAGAGATATCCTGCTACAATGCACTACAAGTTCAGCTAAACTAAGTGACAAATATTATTCAGCATAACAGTAGGCTAGGGGCGGCTCATGAGGCTCGTGTGGGTGACTAACACACCCGTACCCGAGTGTCAGTGTGTGGGTGTTGAACAGTAGGATAGTCGGATAGTTGTATAACTAGTTCTGAGGAATCATATGAGAATAAATTTACTATTACTTAGTGACATTGTGTTCATGTGTTGCTATGTGAGAACTTAGTACTGTGACTGCAAGCAACAACGAAAGAACAGACAACAGTTGGTATTTTAGCAATGCAGTGGGCGTGTTTTTATCAAATTCCAGTTCGCTTCCAATAATACGATAATCTGGTTATCTGATGGGTATTAAGTTTGCAGCCCTCAGTTACACTGGTAATTATATTACCAGTGTATATAGTAGTAGTATATATTACCAGTAGTATATATTATCAGAGTATCACTACTAACAGAGCAACAGAGTAACAGTAGAACCCTGTAAAACATGTGCAACTGTGCACTTTTCTGGGCACGCTTGAACACGTGCGTTCCTTAGCAACTAGTTAGAAATTGTATTAACGTACAGCATGAATAAGTGTAGACTTGGAGAGGTGCCAAGTTGAGAATATTGTCTGCAGAACAACAAGTAAATAACAAACCGCCACTACAACAGTATAACAGTGGTAACAAGTCCAGAGCTGTAAAGTTTACACTCTATACGTCTCTACTACCACTAAGAGAAAACATACATGCAAACAAGCAAACAAGCAACCTAACACACGTGATGTGAGTTCCCCAAACACTCTAAAGAGTTAAACCTCATTAGACACGTTTAAACTGGGAAATCTAATTTCAGGGTAACTTCAGGGAGTCACCATGACAACTGCATGACAACCCTATCAGTGCGGAGGTGTTGAAAGTGTAGGTAATTAAGGATACAGGTTGTCATGGTGATATCGCAGCTGAAAAATGTGTCAACATAATAAGTATATCTACAACAATGCTGACAATTGTACATATTTGTATGTACAGCATCTGTTTTACTGGATATCACTTATTAACTTATAAAACAATATGCTGTCTAGAAGTGCGGGAAATAGAACACAAGGAAAGTTCTAACAACGCTAAAATTAAAACTGCGAATCTACCAAGCAGTGGTAGGTCACCAAGTGTATTCCAGACTCCAGGTGAGCTTACATCATCATCAAATGATCCTAATTACACACTAAAACAATGAAACAGTATCTATAGACTTATATAGAGGTGACACTGTAGTAACTAGTACCCTACTACAGCTGTGGCATAACCTACCTAACCTACACAACTAATACCACTACTACTGCAAACACCCTGCTAACAGTGGGCGTAACCAGGGTTACCATCGCATGCTAACAGTAGCGTAACCAGGGTTACCATTGCATGCTAACAGTGGCGTAACCAGGGTTACCATCGCATGCTAACAGTGGCGTAACCAGGGTTACTATTGCATGCTAACAGTGGCGTAACCAGGGTTACTATTGCATGCTAACAGTGGCGTAACCAGGGTTACCATTGCATGCTAACAGTGGCGTAACCAGGGTTACCATCGCATGCTAACAGTAGCGTAACCAGGGTTACTATTGCATGCTAACAGTGGCGTAACCAGGGTTACCATTGCATGCTAACAGTGGCGTAACCAGGGTTACCATTGCATGCTAACGGTGGCGTAACCAGGGTTACCATTGCCTGTTAACCTAAAGTGAGACACTCGCTAACAAGTTTATATGAAGGGATAACACTACTTCACTACACTGTTGTCACGTGATGCCCATATAAGGAGTTATAGTGTCACGTGATGAGCTTATACTCTGTTACAGTGCAACATGGACCAACTACACCGCAACATGGAGCTGTGAAACAAGCTCTGTGATGGAGAAACTACAGTAACCATGGAAACAAGCTCTGTGATGGAGAAACTACAGTAACCATGGAAACAAGCTCTGTGATGGAGCAACTACAGTAACCATGGAAACAAGCTCTGTGATGGAGAAACTACAGTAACCATGGAAACAAGCTCTGTGATGGAGAAACTACAGTAACCATGGAAACAAGCTCTGTGATGGAGCAACTACAGTAACCATGGAAACAAGCTCTGTTTGACTAATAATCAGGAAATACCGTACAATCAAGGAGCAGTACTGAAAACACACGTTAATGTGACGAGAAGAGCGAGTAAGACAAGAAACAAAGTACTGATCAGTAAAGAAGAAGCTAATCCTGTCGTGGTGTGTCCTATATCCTAGCAACCCTGCCTAGCAACCCTGCCTAGCAACCCTGCCTAGCAACCCTCCTAGCAACCCTCCTAGCAACCCTGCACCTAGCAACCCTCCTAGCACCCCTGTACCCTGCCTAGCAACCCTCCTAGCAACCCTCCTAGCACCCCTGCACCCTGCCTAGCAACCCTCCTAGCACCCCTGCACCCTGCCTAGCAACCCTCCTAGCACCCCTGCACCATGCCTAGCAACCCTTCTAGCACCCCTGCGGCCTGCGGCCTGCACCCTGCCTAATCTGCAGTAGAACCCAGGGTATGAGAGAGAGGATCACTGCACCCAATAGCTCAATAGTTAAGTAGTTACTAGCAGCTGCGACCAGGAACCTATTAAAGTATTAAAGGCCTAGTAGAGTTGCAAGCAGACGTAGCTTCCGCGACAGTTCCACCTACAACAATAAACAATATACACTGCTAACAAAGTGTTAACAATTTTCAATACAGAACTAAACACTACAAACCAACCAAACCACCTGCAAGAGTGGAGGCCACTAGAGTAGTGTCACCATGACAACACTAGAGTAGTTTCACCATGACAACACTAGAGGGTTGCTGCAAACGTGTTCTAATTACCCTCTGGGTCGTAGTCTAATGTGGCTTATACATGCCAGTAACCATGGAAACCATTATGCAAGGTGCAAGGCACTCAATCCTTCTCCTCCCTTCTCTAATCCCTCGCATGATAATTACGGTGATGTAAAATAGGCGGTGGTGAATACTAACCCTGCTATTTTAAAGAACAGCCACTGTTTATGTGGTTGTGAGGTCTTCAATGTTGTCATGGTGACACGACTCAAGATTAGAGGCACACAGTATAACTGGTGTCACTACCTCCCCACATTATAATAGTGACCACTAGTGTTGTCATGATGACCACTTACCCACTTATAACGCAGATCCATGAGACACATTATACTGCCTGTTTAATTGCAGCCCTTATAATATGAAGGTAGTATTACCAAGGCAACCAGGAGCAAGGTAGTAACCACTAACCAAGGTAGTAACCAAGGTAACTGTGTGGGAGACAACTCATCTACATAATGTCTTTCTGCTGTAATGAGGTAATTTACTGAGCTTGACACGAACACGTCATGTAATCTGTATACAGCACCTTGATTACCTACCTGCAGGGCCGATTCAAGATTTAAATCTCAAGATTCAATGATACAAATTAAAATTTGTAACCATAGCTATATATTGTTCAGATCGTCGGGAAAAAACGAAAACTCTATTAATAATGATACATTACCCTAATTGAGTACATGTGCTTTGCTTTAATTTCAATGCTAAGGTTAATAAGACAATATTTTTTTAAATATTGTTTTAATTCGATTTCAAAGCATCTATAATCCTATAATCTGCATTAAGTAAAACCTTTAGCTCTTTATGTAAACTAGCAGGAACCCGTCTAACCCTAAAGTGGTGTCAAGACTCAAGAGACTTAAGGGCAATTCCACGGTAAGGTTCCACTTGGTGAAAATGAAAAATGTTAAGATAGGCACCTAATTTTGGTTAAAATATGTTCATTAGACTCTTAACCTTACAAGTCAACAAAAGTTTTTTGTTTCATATTGCGTTAACTTTTGATT